TCAAGCATATCTGCTAAAAGAAATGTTCAATTCATTTTATGTTGCAGTATTATTCACGATTATTATTCGATGCGTAATGACTTTACGTGTCAACCATACATTATGTATTTGAAGTTGAAGATATACATTTAAAAATCAGAAAACGCAACATCATTGATTCAAAGAGAGCATATTTACCTGTAAAGAACATGTCTTCTTTCATGTTGCCCATGTCCTATTCAGTCAAATCGACAATCTACCAAATGAACCTTAATTTGAAATAGTGTAGCTTCTCTATCTTTTTTAGTTTTATCTTGATGTAGTTTAACCTATTACTAAAATAGTGATTTAAGGTGATGTCTACATAATACGACATGGTTAGTCTTATAAAATCGATGTTATCGGGTATTTTGCGCATTTATGAAAAAATATTTTGGGTTCTCTAAGTTGAATATTTCTCCAAAGTTTTGATTTTGGGAATACAGTTGCAAAGCCAAGTCAAAATGCTTCAAAACACTTCAGTACAACGAATCATTATCGTAGCGTAGTTGACCAATTGAACCTTACGATTGTAAAAGACAGTTTTTATTGTCCAACTGTCCGATTACGACTTATATTATGTTTGTATATTATATTTGAATTGTAACTACTCAGGATAAAGCAAGACGGCCACTTATACCAGTTTACTTTGTTTTTTTGTAATTCATCGTATGGCGGTGAGACTGACACCTGAATGACTAAGTGATACTTAATTGCGGAGATTAACGATGCAGCCATGTACTAGGATGGATTATAGAATAAATAACTATCTATTGAACACAATCCATTGATATTTAGACATATTTACATATTCCCTATACAGAATGAATGTCACTATTTGAATGATTGCTTCTGTGAATCTTTGAACGGTTCTTTGATTACGGACTGGTTGGCAATCTAACTACCGTCTATCTGTTAAGCTACTTATTACATAGAAAAATGGTATGATTGTATATAATGTATATAACCATCAATATTTCAACATTTCATTATAACGTCCTCGTTTTTATTGCACATGTTTTAAAATATGTGCACATTGATATGCTGGACACACAGCCTGATTAACATATGTCAAAGTGAAGATTTAACCCCTTTCACAAAATTGTTCCAAAAAACAAAATATGACTTTTTCTCATAAATCATTCCCACGTCAAGTTTATTATTGTTTCATTGATAGATTCAACCCAACCATACACCTGGAATAGTAAATATGACGCCCTCATACTTACTTTTACCCTGTGCACTGACCTTATTTAAAAAAAAAAGACCTTACCTAAAGAATCATAATATTGGATGTGTCATCTGATACCAAGTATTTCATTAGGCAAAAGGCATTGTGAATGGAACTATTTCTAAATTACAAAACTGTCAATCTTCATGTTGCACTTCATAACGAAATGGTAAGTAGAAGTAAACAAACAAAGGCCATTTAATCAAAAGAATATGTTTAGTCATTTGAACTTTGCTTTTGCAGAAAAACATATAGTATAACTTAGTCATTTCAACTTTACCTGTGCAGTAAATACACATAGTACATTTAGTCATTTGAACTTTGTTTTGCTTGCAGTAAAATATATGGTACATTAATATTAGTCATTCGAACTTTTCTTTTGCAGTAAAACATACATTTAGTCATTTGAACTTTTGCAGTAAAATGTTTAATCACATTTAGTCATTTGAACTTTGTTTTTGCAGTAAAATGTATTACATTTAGTCATTTGAATTTTGCTTTTGCAGTAAAATGTATAGTACATTTAGTCATTTGAACTTTGCTTTTGCAGTAAAATGTATAGTACATTTAGTCATTTGAACTTTGCTTTTGCAGTAAAATGTATAGTGCATTTAGTCATTTGAACTTTGCTTTAGCAGTAAAATATATAGTACATTAGGTCATTTGAACTTTGCTTTTGCAGTAAAATGTTTAATTACATTTGGTCATTTGAACTTTGCTTTTGCAGTAAACTGTATTGTACATTTAGTCATTTGAACTTTGCTTTTGCAGTAAAATGTATAGTGCATTTAGTCATTTGAACTTTGCTTTTGCAGTAAAATGTTTAATCACATTTAGTCATTTGAACTTTGTTTTTGCAGTAAAATGTATAGTACATTTAGTCATTTGAATATTGCTTTTGCAGTAAAATGTATAGTACATTAAGTCATTTGAACTTTGCTTTTGCAGTAAAATGTATAGTGCATTTAGTCATTTGAACATAGGGCTTGCTGCTAAATAATCAATTGACTAGATAAGAAACAGACAGTTAGCTGCATGGATATTCAATGGGGTTTTGCTTTCATCATGTAATGCGATGGTTCATTAGATTAAAACATGTGTTTAGCGTGCTAGTATCAACAACAATAAAATAATTTTCCAATACATGATTTCAATAAATGTGTTTATCTTCGCACTCAGCAATCTATTAAATTACTAGTCTTCTTATGTCGTTTCATTTAATTCATGCATATAATATCAATGCAATTCATGAATATTAGCACATCCTTGTTCTCTGTTTAAAATGCAATGGAGTCCTTACAATTTATTCATGTATTTTATACATAGTCTAAGATATAATCAAGGGTATCAACGATGAATGACATAGATTTGTGTGTTTGAAGAGCTCACCAATGTTTATCATCACACTGGGATTGCGTTGAATCGACGTGTGATTAACATGCCAAACAGACAAGCGCTTTCCGCAGATACGATGAACACAATGGTAAAGGAATAAAAAATTAGCGACATAAGTGTGTATAATATCCCTGACCATATTTATATTTATGACTATAAAATTAATTCTATGTTGTTTATTCTGTAAGAGATAATTACAATAGAACGCTATAAAAATGATGCTATTTGATAAGTAAGATACCAGATACTATCCATATTATATATATATGTATATAAAGATAAGACAATATAAGCTGTTATTTGTTTGGTAAGTTTGAGTAGTTACAGCGCTTTAGCAGACCCACTGTGTGCGTGTGCGATGCCGATGCTGATGCCGGAAGTCGGCCATTTTGAATCCTGTCTGGGCAAGTTCATGACATCATAGCGGAAACTCAACCATTTTAACTTCGTCTGGGCCATCGCAGGAAACGGAAGTTTAGCCATTTTGAATTTAGTCTGGACAAGTTGATGACATCACAGCGGAAGTTCAGCCATTTAAGATTTGGCCTGGGCAGGTCGATGACATCATAGCGGAGGAATTAGCCATTTTAACTTTAGTCTTGTCTGAACAGGACGATGAGTCAACCCTAAGTTTCGAGTCTAGGTTGAATAACCCTAACATTATATACTTTGACAAGTTGTAAATAGCCCCAACCCTTAATTACAACTTATTGGTCCAGGCGGAATAATCCTAACCCTAATATACTATGACAAGTTGTAAATAACCCCAATCCTAAACTTATAGTTGTTAGAAAGATCAGCTGATTGTCCGAACTTGCCAACTTTAGAATCAAAACAATAATATGCGCACGCACTGTTTCATTGACACCAATAAAATGTACATAGAACCCTCCGCCACCACCACCACAGCCACCACCACCACTATAAAACCACATTCAATTGTAACAAGTGATCATTTGACTTCAGACGTTGGTGGAGTCACTTGTATGTTTGACGATTAGGTTTGAACAAAGTGAATTAAAGTGTACATTGTATTTAAGGGGAGAACTAGGCTATAAAGATGAAACTAGTTCCTATAGACACAAGCCAAGATAAATGGTTAGCCTTCATGGAAGGAAAAAATAATCAAGTAGGAGCAGGTAGAAGATTCATAGTTGTTCCAGATGTAGCAATTCAAAATGGCAGAGGAGAAAATATTACTCTTGTGTCTCCCAGCCAGGCCACTGTTGAACGAGCAAAATCTGATGCATACAATTATCAAAGAGTTAATGCTCAGAAGGGACGAGGACTGAAGAGAGTTTCAGATTCTACTGAAGTAAAGAAACCAAAACTAAAAAGGTGTGGCTGCCATAACAAAAATGATATAATGGACTGCGTCAACAAATAAAAATAATCCAGTGGCCATTCCAGTTACATCACCACCACCACCACCACCACCGCCGCCGCCACCACCACCGCCACCACTTCCACCATCGCCACCACCGCAATATATTTATATATACGTTATGTTTAATTAGAGAAGTCAGTTCATAACAAGACATTGTACGATAAACATCATGTACAAGTGCTCAGAATGTCCAAAACGATTTTCGAGGAAAGATAGTAATAAACGCCATATGAGGATTGCTCATGGTGTACCTGGTTCGGTCAGCGCTATCATATCAGATGGAGAACGTAAACTTGTCCTTAAACACCCCTATACGATGGTTTTAGCAGGTCCGTCTGGATGTGGCAAGACAACATATGTCAAAAACATTTTGTTGAGGATAAATGACAACATGACGCCGCCACCAGATAGAATAATGTGGGTTTATTCAGAATGGCAACCCATGTATGATGAGCTGTCAGATAAACTACCAGGAGTCGAATTCATCAAAGGTGTTCCCAACAATTTAGAGAAATTATTTGATCCTTCGATTGTTAATCTACTTATCTTAGATGATGTTATGGGGAGCATCACTAGAGATCCTAAAGTGGCTGATTTATTCACCAAAGGTAGCCATCATCGTTCACTGTCTGTCATTGCACTATTGCAAAATTTATATCATCATGGTAAAGAAACGAGGACAATGACATTAAACTGTCACTACATTGTCATGTTTAAGAATCCACGGGACAGGGTCCAACTGATGTCACTCTCTCGCCAGATGTACCCTAAACGTCCAAATACACTTCTAAATAAATTCGAGCAAATGAAGGAAGAACCATTTTCATCCCTGTTAATAGATCTAAAACAGGATACAACTGAAAAGGACAGACTTAATGGAAAACTTACCTTTGATGAGAAAGAGGAGCAAATGAATGATACAAATAACTCACTTTATGGGGGAAATTATGTAGTTCAGACTGGGGGTGCCAAGGCAAAATATTCCAGACCACCTGGACAACCAGTATATCCAAGAAATCGTGATACTCCTGTTGTGTCCTCGAAGCACCAAGGATCGAAGACTAGAGACTTGTTTCTTCCTCAAAGTGGAGCTGGTGACAAAAATGGTGGTGGTGTATCTGATAATGCTACTGTCGGCACTGATGACATTGCTATGTCGAGTGATGACAATGATGGTGGTGTTGTGACTAGTAAAACTATTGGCGATGTAAATGACATTGATATGTCTAGTGATGATAGTGATGACGCAGAATCTAGCTTAACTGTCAAGAAGTCTAATGGTAAAGAACTTTGGCATAAATTGATCGTTTCTATTCTTAATAATGAGGAAGCAGAGTATCAAGATGAAGATAAAGTGAACAGCTATTTGGCTGATGGATATACTAAATCTGAGGCATTAACGCTTTTATATAATCAGTTTATTTCACGTGTCAGCAAACGATTTAGAAAGGAAGTTGCTGATTTAATGCTGTATGTCCATAGGCTATTGAAAGATGATACATATAAGAAATTGATGCGCACTGCTCAAGATCTTCATTATCAAGGAGGTTATTCCAGAGAAGAATCCATCACTGCAGCAGTGTCTTTGAGGAAACATTTGTTGAATAAATTTTTCAAAAATACTAGTGAAATGAACTTTAATGAGTCTACCTCTGATGATTCAGATGCTAGTGCCAGTGGAAGTGAGGACTGTAATTGTAATGAAAATGACTGACTGTAAATAGATATAGATACACATATTATGATTAGTTAAAAATTATAAAGTATTGTTTATATTGTATATATAATTTGATTGACTTTGCAACAATAAATAAGATTAAAACAAAATGTGTCCTGCCTTGATAATTAATACCTAGATTAAGTCCTGACCTTGACATCCCGTTACACTAATGTAGAGAAGTTCTACCTGATTACCAAAATCAATGAAGTGACTTACCAGAGCAACACAATCTGAAGTTTTGAAATATATCCTGTATTTAATTCCTATTTGTAAATCAAGGTATATTAATATCAATGATATGTTTTATCAGTAATAATCATATACACATATTTTGTCATGAATTCTAGTGAATTCATGACTTGAACTTCGGAGTTTTATTCATTCGTCTACATCAGGTCTAAAACCAAGCGTAACTACAGTGCTTAAAATAAACTATTGCATACATGTACATGTATATGTATGAAAGTTGCCAAGAAATCGATAAAGGTATATATAAACCAAACACACTTAAATTTGGAGTGAAATGACCTAATCTTTATTGGTTTATTGATTTAAGCATGGTCAATGTTGATTGTTCAGTCTGAGTTATATGTACGTCTTATCCAGGTAAATGAAACAGTGCGTGCGCATATTATTGTTTTGATTCTAAAGTTGGCAAGTTCGGACAATCAGCTGATCTTTCTAACAACTATAAGTTTAGGATTGGGGTTATTTACAACTTGTCATAGTATATTAGGGTTAGGATTATTCCGCCTGGACCAATAAGTTGTAATTAAGGGTTGGGGCTATTTACAACTTGTCAAAGTATATAATGTTAGGGTTATTCAACCTAGACTCGAAACTTAGGGTTGACTCATCGTCCTGTTCAGACAAGACTAAAGTTAAAATGGCTAATTCCTCCGCTATGATGTCATCGACCTGCCCAGGCCAAATCTTAAATGGCTGAACTTCCGCTGTGATGTCATCAACTTGTCCAGACTAAATTCAAAATGGCTAAACTTCCGTTTCCTGCGATGGCCCAGACGAAGTTAAAATGGTTGAGTTTCCGCTATGATGTCATGAACTTGCCCAGACAGGATTCAAAATGGCCGACTTCCGGCATCAGCATCGGCATCGCACACGCACACAGTGGGTCTGCTAAAGCGCTGTAACTACTAGTTTGTGAACTGGAGAAACGGTAGCCTTTCACTATTATTTGTTACATGTATATGATGCCAATAATAGGCTTTGATTTGATTTGGTTGGCGACCATGTGAACATGAGAAATTCGCTTACCTCTGGAATGGTTTTTGATCTTTCCCACTATTGCATTAAGATCATAATCATCTAGATACTGATCGTCAATGATACTAATGTAAGGGTCTATTTCAAACACATTGTGGATGGTTGACAAATCTTGCATTATTTGGATGAGCTCAACCATGACGTCATTACATTCGGAATTGTCTTTCGAGCGATCGTGGAAATTAGTATGCCAAATCAGGGATACGTGGTAGTAATTAAATTCCAACAGTAATTTAACCATGGCGAAACTAAGTTTTATATGTGGTGCTACTATCCGTGTTAATATTGGAAAGTCGTCTTCATTTCCAAATGACGACTTCAACCCACCTAGTGTTATAATGGGCAGTCCCCATAATTTGTTATATCTTGCTACAGGTGGAGAGTGCATATTTACAACACGGACCCAAAAGAACATCAAGTTTGTGCTCATATTGTAGCCTAATGACCTCCAAAGGCGCGTACAAATCGGAACATTTTGAGTCTACAAAATGCCACTGCAACTCTACTCCTTTTTCAGTGAGTCCCATATCCTGGGCATGTGCCATTGTTAGCTCCAAAGATGGCTCAACGTGTCCAAAGGGATAACATGGATCCTGAGTTACGTCGACTGGATCACTCGGTAAGATAATTCCGATATTAACATGATATCCCGTTGTTTCATCTAACATAAAAAACACGGCCATTAGAGGCAGTAATCTCCAGCTTTTGACCAAAATTCGTTCTGCACCTCTTTTTAATTGTTGTGAGCACTGTAGAAATATCATCATCTTCTTTCTTAAGTATTCCTTATACTATTTTTACGTTCCGACGAGTAATTACAAATACTCCTGTATACTATTCAGTGAATTAAAGCGAGAGTTCAATACACGGTTTCCGTTGCCAATATCAACAATGAAATCTCGGTTTTTTGCTCAGTATACCTGAGAAAACATAAACATTATTTACGATGAAGCTCAGTTTGCACGCATCTCCTCTGCTCATAAACCATGGTATTAAAGCATAAAATACTGCAGCTCCAGCGTAAGGATCTGTCAAGATCTGAGAGGCGTTTCATCTTCACTCACTGGCAGATTCAGATGAAAATTCAATAGTCTATCAATAGAACACTGTTAAAAGGTTTGCTTGACTCCGATATGTAAATTCCATATATCATCTAGACAAAAAGGGTCGTCGCAAATTCATCTAACCTACTTTATTATATACTTATCAATCTACGGCTTGTAGCTGAAAGGAATCAATGAATTATATGATCATCGGCTTTTATATTTATTTACGATGCATATCTAACCAATAATCCCAGTTCTAAATGGCACACTAAAATTATTGTTTTAACTTGCTGCCGTTCTGAAGAAAAGTGTTATCATCATTTTCACAAACACCACGTCAACTTACAAAAAAACATTCAAGTATCGTTCCGATATACATATCAATTAAATGAATGAAAACAATGTTTTTAAATTGCTCTGGGATTTAGACATCAACAGATCAAAGGATGTATGAAGTATAATAGCTACTAGTAATGACCTACTACTGAAAAATTGGTTATAATGATTAACTCTTGACGCCTTTGCTGAATACGAAAATAGAGGATAGCTCCTTCCGTTTCTACTGCTTCGAACATGGAAAGAATCTCAAATACGTTTCTTTGATGGAATAATTCGCTGAGGCAGATGCGCTTAATAGTTTCTTGAATACGAATTGTGTTTGATGATTCGAATTGTCCTTTAATGAAGGGGTTGAAGCAAATGATGTAATATTTTTCTTACCATTTAGTTTGACCCCATAGGGATGCCATTACGAGAATTTATAATGTTGCAGCTCCAAGGCCTATGGATAGTAATGAAATGACTATTTATACCATCAATATTGTTAGCCTAGCCTACAAATTCATTATGCAACTAAGCATTTTATGCTTTTCTCATGAGGTTGTTTTTTACCGATCTCGAACAAACGTTGGTAATACAGTACGGGATCTCAAAGAACAACTTTCATGTGAATACACTAGTAATAGATGTCCAACCTATTATTATTTGACATTGGCCTTATTCTTGACAGTGTTTTTCATGTATCTATTATATATTCTTGAAATAACCCCTATGTAAAGTTAGAAGATCCCAATTCATTTAATCAAATGATCAATTATATTAACCATGTTATCTGTACAATACAGTCGGGGGCTATGGTGGTTTTATAATAAACATCTTCACCAAAAGCAGTTATACAAATTATAGAACTGTAAATACTAATATATAATGACATTTATGCCGCTTTCCTTCTTTTATGATCTTCATATCATAAATATTCTAAGGACACCCGGAGGATTCTTTGGCGGTATAGTGGTGCAAGTATCCTCATACTCCTCAACCAGTTATTAAAAGCAGTTACAGTCAGCAAATGAAAGCAAGCAGTATTTCTTGTTCACTTTCAAACCCCACTTAGATAGCAACGCAATTGAATGAGCTATGGTTTATTTTAAGGAATGTCCAGCTGTAACAAAGAGGCGTGTATTATTTTCCTATTTTTAAGGAATGTACACTTGGCAAGCTATCCAAAATCAGCGTGGCACAAAATACCATTGACTGTCACATGCAGTGCATTGACGCTGCGCTAATTACCACTATTCACACATTCAATAGTTGAATTACTCAGATGCGAGTAGGTAGTTACCAGTTTCGCCACCAGGTGGCTGATTCGGGGGAATTAACATGGCAGGGTATTACAAAATTCCCTTAAACTTGAATATGCATCAGTTTTAGTGGTTCACTTTTCATATTACCCCTATGTATCTGATAGTTATACAAATTAAAATATGTCCAGTCAAAGAAAATATTATCTGCCCAACACAAGAAAAGATATTTCACTTTTTGTGGTTTTACAACATGGTGTCTATGGGGAATCTCCCCGACCTAGAAGTCACATTTTCAAAGAAAATTAATTTTTTAAAGTTGATAAACTCTTTTCAAAACCACACTTCTAAATGTAATTTTACATGTAGATTCCAAGTATGACATCAGTTTGACTGAATTGTGAGTTTTTAATGACGTAAATCAAGATTATTTCTACTCGCATCTGGGATATTGCCTCGGCCTATGGCGGCCTCGGGTATTATTCCTCATAGAAACAAATGCTCATAGTTTATCCAGAACGGACAGCTATGCTCAAATATTGTTATGCTGGTTTACCTTCTGCACATCATTCGCCAATGTTTAGGCCTATTAAAATACAAATTTTAGGCTTGCGGCTTTGATTGTCAAAATGATTAAATAAAAATTTGTTTTATTAAACATCGTTGTCATGATGCTATGCTACAATACATTGAAGATGTCGGTGATGGCTGGAAGGTCAATACAGTGGACGAGTCGTATCACCAGTACTTCTACCTCCACGGGTTTCGGGGCGCTCCGAAGTATACCTGATTGGGGAAGGAGGTTACCCCTAAATGAGAGTTGGCATATTATTGAACTATTGTCAAGTCAAAATGGCCGATAAAACAACTTAATTAGCACTACACAGGTGTAGGAGAAAATGTGAAATAATTATACTCAGGAGATATGTTCATCGAAGGAAAGGGTGTTTTGATTTTTAAGAGATTCCACAAGGGTTGAATCAACTACGTTATACTTGCAATGGTTCACATGGTTGTTGTAACAACCATTTCTGAGTGACAATACGTGATATCAGATGTCTATGAAGTGTAGCAATAATGCAGAGAAAATGTTTAGATATATTACTCCTCAAAATGTTTTTAACAGTGTTTTCAATACCTTTTGGTATTTCTCCTTCTGGTATTTGAGATAACATATTTGTAAATTGGACACCATGCGTAAACAGTTTTTATTTTAGCAAGACTTTTTAGCTTTTATTTCGACTCACATTTCGAAACCAATCTAGTTCCCTTTTCAAATTACATTTGAACGGAAATTGAGAAACTTTTACCTTGCTGAAATATAACACGGAAATAAAAGGTAAATAAAAACCTATGAAAGGTAAAGAACAGAAGCCAGAATATTGGTAAATCAAGTTGAATCTTAGAATTGAAAACCTAATGAATCCATTAAGGTGGCTTTGGAAATGGTTGTTTGACCTTTCAGGCCTGTAGCCAGGGGGGAGTGTCCATGGGTTCGAGCGAACCCCCCATGGCCAAAATCATGCAGTTTTTCACCATTCTGAGCACTTTTTAGTTGGCCATTTTTTGACCAAAAGTGAACCTCTTGGAATTTTTCAAAAAATGAACCCCTTGGTATATCCTGGCTACGGGCCTTCCTCTTGTACTATATTGTTAAGATTGGATGCTGTCAGTCCAACATCATCTGAGACTGGAAATAATATTATTTATTACCACCTTGCCGGGCCAGTTCTAGGGGTTTTAGTGCTAGTTTAGAAGGCGTTTATTTTACTATATCGACCTGAGAAATGTGTGACGTCATAGTGGTGGTCCATATGGACCGGTCTAGAATATATTCTGGACCGGCAATTTTCCCCGGGAAATTAGATATCGTTCAATGCGTAAGATTTTCTTGCTGTTTCAGTCCTGGTCGTTAACGGTGGTAATAATACTAATAACGTCATTTCTGCGAGCAATAGTGAAATATTGGACCTTGGGCCTTCGGCCCTCGGTCCAATATTTCACTATATCGCCCTAAGAAATGACGTTATTGTACTAATGATACTTCTTATATTTTGTAATTTCTCATTCAATATGTATTGTGATGACTGGGGTATAAATGGAGTGTCCGACTGTCTTGACTTTTGAATGCACGTATGAATGAATGAATCGTCCGATTGTTTTATTTTTTGATTGTGTCGAATGTGTTTTTATATCTGAAATATCTTCAAGTGAGGGGGGTGGGTGGGGTGTAAGACAATCTTTTCATGTGTTAGATTACAGTTTGTTCTTTTGTCGTACATATGACTGGTCATTTTCTTTTTGTTGTTGTGATGCGCTCTGATCTCCCATAGGCACTTGTACTTAATTATATCGATAGGCACTTGATACATTGTTGTAACGCATTTGCAATCAAGATATTCCTGAGTAAATCTGATGGGAATCCGGCTCAATTTGGATCTGTTCTATTCTAATCGATGCACACAAGTCTACAAACAGTTCTAATACGTTATAGACAGGGCGATAATAGATGACTTCTTAATAACTTTTAGATTGTAGTTAAGACAAATGACTTTCGGCAGGGGAAAGAGTCATAATGAGGGTACAATACTGATAGAATGCACAGACACTATCAATCCATAAGACTTCTTCAAGCAATAAGCATCTTAAGAATATTTATGTTGTTCAACTTCCGATTTGGAAAATGATACCTTGAGGCAGCTCCATATATCTAGATATATCTGAATCTAGACGTATTACGAAACATCTTTATATTTCTCTCTATCAATGGTTGATTTACCATCACATAATGACTAGGTTTGTACCTCTTTATTAATCTCTTTCAGTCAAAACCATTAAGACACATTTAACAAAGTCTGTATTCGTGAATGCAACTTTCGGCTAGCGGCTACCAGATTGTTTGCAATCTGAGGGCAAACTCGTTTAAATATGAATAGTACCTGCCGTGTATTCCGGTAGCTGTAAGCTTTCGCGTTGAACCCAATCGCTGACCTTATACGAACTTGTAGGTTGAGTAAGTAGTGCAGAGACGTATCCAACGATCTGGACCTAGTGTCAAAATATATCGAAGTTTGGATACTTTCATCAAATTACATCAAGGCTAACATCTATTTTCATTAGCTACAAAGAAAACCCCCG